GCGAGATAGAGATAATTCTCCAGGACTAAATAAATAAAACTAAAAACTAAAATTATAAGAGTATTTGAGAATCAATCCACAAAAACATCATCTCAACGGAAACGTGTACCGGGTCACAAGATACGTTTTAGATAAAAGGTAGCCAAATTGATCAGTAGGCATTCAAACCGTTTCGCGGATCCCTCGATTCCTCCATATCAGCTTGAACAAAAAATATCCGCCGTTTTAATTTCACTCATAAGTTTATTAACAAAACCAAACAAAAACAACAATAAATGCGTAATCAACAAACGCTCTCGAACAGTCCTCTCTGCAACCGTGCCTTCATCCCAGGCTTCATTGATTCTACGAGCAGATGCAGAAGCATTCGGTTTCGAGCTCAACTTGCACTCATGTAGCATGAGCAATCTTTTTTTGCTCGCGTGTAAGCTCCAGAGTGAAGCAAATACACAAGTGTTGTACATCAAAATGTACAAGAGATTGCGCGCTTTCAGACTACATCATAATCTTCAAAAATAATCAGCAAAAAATCAAAGAGCCATGAGCCTGAAAAAAAAACGGCGGATAATTTTCGTTCAACCTAATACATAGGTAATGTAATAGGTAAGGAGCTATCTTACTGTTTGTTGAAAATCTCTACTCGTCCTGTGGCTATCGATTTCACACCATAGAGAATCGATACTCATTTTAATGTATTAATGTATTTAAAGTGGGTTGAAATTTTAAATTAACTACAACGCGATTTCTTTGCTTTTTTGTCGCGTGAGACGGTACGACTTGGTGAACCTGGCCTTCGTGATTCCATGTACAAAAGAATGTCGCTTTTTGTGAAAAACTGTTCATATAGATGTGATCCAATATTCGATTACGCCGTCCCATGCGCCTGCAATGTGTTATGCGATACTTGATCATGCTCTCGTCAGTGTTAGTATTAGAGCTTGAAAGAGTAATATGCATGAGATTTGCGTTTCTCGAGCTTCATAGATAGGATCAAAAACAAAAACGTTCGGCGTCGATCAATCCCTCTTTCAGATGGGTCACGCTTTCCACTTTTATTTAGGATCGTAGTGTCACCTTCAATACAATTTGACCTGGTTTCGGGAGCTAGCCGATGTACCTACATGTCCATATTTTTATCCTTCCAGACATAACTGGTATAATTTCAACGATTTGGGAGGGATGGTAGGCGTGGTTGACCCAGACGGCGTAGGTTCAGAACTTGATTCTCGGACCATGCGTGTGGTGAGGTGAGTATAGGAGATACGACAGAAAGCGACTTTTTCGCTTCTTTTAACGCGAAACTTTCTCATTGAGCGGATTCCAGGTCCACTCATC